ATTTATTTTTAGTTTCAACAAACACTTCCATAAGCTTTTGATTTTTAAATTTTCTCCCACTCCCTCCCCACGTCCCTCCCTAAGACAGTGTTCAATCTGATATAGGCTCTACATATACATTCCTATTAAACATATTTTTACATAAATCATGTTGTAAAGAAGAATTAGAATCAATAAGAGGAACCACAAGATAGAAGAAATGAAACAAAACAAAAGAAAAAAAAGAGCAAATAGCATGCTTCCATCTACATTCAAATTCCATAGTTCTTTCTTTGGATGTAGATAGCATTTTCCATCAAGAGACTTTTGGAGATATCTTACATCCTTGCATTGCCTAGAAGAGCTAAGTCTATCAAAGTTAGTCCTTGCACAATGTGGCTGTTACTGTGTATAATGTTATCCTGGTTCATCAGTCCATACAAGTCTTTTCAGGTTTTTCTGAAGTCTGCTTGCTCATCATTTCATATAGCACAAAAGTATTCCATTACATTTATATACCAAAACTTGTTCAGCCATTCCCCAACTGATGTGCATCTCCTCAATTTCCAATTCTTTCCCACCACATATAGAGCTGCTATAAATATTTTTGTACATATCTGTCTGTTTCCTATTTTTATGATCTCTTTGGTATACAGCTCTAGAAGTGCTATTGCTGGGTCAACGGATATGCACATTTTTATAGCCCTTTGGGCATAATGAATTCTTGATCTGAAAGGTAATTTTTTTCTATGCTCCACCAATTTGCTTATGAAATAACCCTTTAAGTCTAAATCATACACTCATTTTGAGTTTTTCTTGGTATATAGTGTGAGATGTTGACCCATGCCTAGTTCCTGCCAGACTATTTTCCAGTTCTTCCAGCAGTTTTTGTCAAATAGTGAGTTCTTGCCTCAATAACTGAGATTTTTGGGTTTATCAAATGCTAGCTAGCTGTGGTCATTTGTTTCTGTTTTTAGCATACCTAATCTAATCCATTTGCATGAAATTGAAAAGTTTCTATACCAACAAAATGAACAAACCTGGGTTAAGATGAGAAGTGTTTGAAGTGGATAAATCTTTTCACTGAATTTCTCAGAATAGTGTTTGGTACAGAAGACACATAGAGAAATAACAGACATATGTCTGGGGTATCTATTATCTCCCCAGGTAACTCATTTCACTTTTGGATGGTTAGCATTATTAGAAAGTTTTTCCTCAAATCCAGTCAAAATCTGCTTCCCTGTAACACCTATTGTTTCAAATTCAATCCTCTGTGGACAAGATAAGTACAACTTGTCTAATTCTTCTTGCATATTATGTTCCTTTCAAATACATGAAGACCACTCTCATATTCTCCTCAGTCTCTTCTTCAGGCTAAACATGGCAGTTCTTTTAATTGATCCTTGCATGTCATGGTTTTGTGGCTCTTCACCATCTTGGCAGCCTTCTTTTGGATATGCTCTAGCCTGTCACTGTTAGGTAGCACTCAGAAGTGAACACTCTGATCTAGATGACATTTGACCAGAGCATGGCAGAACATGAATCTCATCTCTCTTATTCTTGAAGTTATGACTTTTATAGAAAAGAGTCTAGAATTGGGTCAGTTTTTTTTTAAGGTAGGTCGCAATGTTGCCTCATGTTGAACTAGAAAACCCCTAGAATCACTGAATCTTTTTCACATGAACTGGGGTATAAAATTTCTTATCTTGTCTTGTGAAGCTGACTTTTTTAATCCCATTATGTTCCTTTAGTATCATTCTAAGCAGTTTAGATCCTTTAGGATCCTAAACTATTCCTCATGTTAGCTAACCTCCCAATTTTCATGTCATTTACAAACGTGATAAGCTACTTTTGAGGTCCAGTTATTCTGTGAATATTGAAAATTATGATGTAACTCATTCTGAGCAAAATGATAACCTATGAGACTTTGAGACACATGTAGCTGAAATCTAAGTTCCCTATGTTTACACTATTTGGGTGACTTACCTCCTGTTCTAGCAACTCTGAAAAAAAAACCTAGTAAAACATGTACTGGAGCAGTATTTATGACCATAGAGAGTTAAGGAGCAGTTGGCAGGGATTATTTCTTAGGACTGAAATCTTTAGGGATTTCATACTTCAAAAGTCACTTCAAATAAGAGGCCTTTCCTTATCTTAATAACTGTTAATGCTTCCTCTGCCTCTCAAATTACCTTGTAGTTATTTCATATATATTTATATACCAATATATGTTGTTTCCTTTATTGAATGGAAGCACTTTGTGGACAGGGACTGTATTGGTTTTGTTTAATGGCTCTTTTGTTGTTGTTTATTTTCCATTCCAGAAGAGGACCGTGACATCAGGAAGGTGATTCCAATGTTGAGGTCTAGAGGTTTAGGGGTGCTGGGACCCCAAAATCACAACAACTGGGTCCTGCCCAAATGAATTCAACCCAGGCCTTCTTTCAGCCAAAGCCAAGATTTATTAAAGTTCTGCTATATTGGCCAGACTCTTAAAGAATGTGAACATTTGTGAGCTATTGATTAGGTTCTTAAGGAATCTAAACACCCTAATGGAGACAAGATGGATCTTATATACAGAAAAAGTGTGGGAGGGATCTAGGAAGGATATTTTTTTTTTTTTGGTTTTTCTTTTTTTTGGCTATGCAGTGGGGTTAAGTGACTTGGCAAGTCACACAGCTAGTAAGTGTTATGTGTCTGAGGCCAGATTTGAACTCAGGTCCTCCTGAATCCAGGGCCTGTGCTCTATCCACTGTACCACCTAGCTGCCCCCCTTGGAAGGATCTTGATGAGAGTGACTGGGAGGTTGAGAATGGTGTCTAGATAGGATTATGGATGGGAAGTGGCCAGGGGCAATTGGGAGGTAACAGAATTGGGAGACTGGGCATAGCCACAATGAAAGGCCAGTTGATAGGATTATAGCCTTTGGAGAATACCAGAGTTTTGGGAAAGTCCAAAGATTTTCCTTTTTGGGATCCCAATCCCAAAGACATGATCTTTTCCTTTTAGGAATTCAGATCCCATCCTCATCACCATGACTTGCAAGTGAACTGGATTTAAGTGAGGCAGGGCTGTGCAAGGTCATAAGTCTCACTTTCTCCTCCAGAGCCATCTGGGTCCAGTGGCAAGATAAAGATCAGGAAGACTGGAGAAGGCCCTGGATATACTGGGAAACCTTGGCTTTTTTAAGCTAAGGTCTTTAATAGGTCTCAATTTTACTGAGGCAAAGCCCATTCAGTGATTAAGGTTAGCTAAGAAATGAGCAAAGGAATGGCCTCTTTTCCCTAATTAAAAAAAAAAATGGTCAAACTGGGAGGGGAAGACCCTTAGGATTTCTGGCCAAAACAGAAACGATTATTAGTTACATTATTATTTTTGGGAGCCCTATGGTTGGGGCCCGAACAATGATCATTAAGTGGGACTTGAGCTGGAACTTATTGCTGACCAATCAATGAGAGCCAGAGTGAATTTAATTTAAGGACTGGTCTTTTTTTTTTTTTTGTGATGAGATAAATGTGGTTAAGTGACTTGCCCAGGGTCACACAGCTAGTTAAGTGTCAAGTGTTTGGTCTGAGGTTGGATTTGAACTCAGGTCCTCCTGACTCCAGAACCAGTGCTCTATCCCCTGTGCCACCTAGCTGCCTCAGGGCTGGTCTTTAAGAAAGAAATATAGCATGTAAAACCCCAAGATATCCTGCTAGGTTTCAGCTGAGGAAGAAGAAGGACCTTATATAGAGGGATAGGAAGAAAGGGAGAAGGAAGGGAAGAGAAGAGGAGGGGAGGGGTAATGGTTATCACAGTAGTTGACATGTAGTAGGTGCTTAATTAATGTTTATTGATTGGAATGTCACAGAAATATTATCAATAGATAAGGTAACTGATCAGTAGTCAAAGAGTTATGTTTGCAAGAAAAAATATGGCTTCTTAGGAAAACATAAGTGAAGTTGTTACTGAGTGACCTGCAAATAAATGATGTATTACTTTTAAAGAAGTCAAACATGCAAGATTCAATGTCCCAGAAAACTTCATTTTGACCAGCAAAACTCAGCCCAAATCTTAGACTTCCACCTTTCATGTGATCAATATTACCAGTATAAAACAACCTGGGTCAATTCAAGGTCTCAGGCAGGTCTACCTAACTCAGATAATTATAAGGGTTCCAAGAAAGAAGACAATTTTATTTTTAGGTTACATATTTGTGAAGGTGGTTGGGTCAAGCCTACGATACCTGAACTTTAGCTCTAGTTCTTTCCCTCTTTGTGATGCCAGGGAAGTCATTTAAATCTTCTGTGCCTCCATTTCCTTATCTATTAAATGGTGATCACGATATATATTTTATTGACCTTACATGACTCTTGTGAACGTGTTAGAAGTTAAGAACTCTTTCTAATTGAGAGATGAACCTTGTTCAAGGTGGAATGAATAAGAGAACTGATATTCAAACCCAGATTTTCTGATTCTTGCTTTGTCTAGTATGTATGTGTGTGTGTGTGTGTTTTTAACTATATCATGGAGATAGAACTAGAGAGAAGTCTTCAACGCCTATGAAAAACTTTACGAAACGTGCCACCAAAAATGAGTGGGTAGGACGGGTTGGGGTTGGATTGAAGCCACTGATTTTCTCTTTGTTGCTCAAAGGATCTTTGAACTATTTCCTATTCTGATAACCTTCTCCTTCCCAACAGTAAATGCGTCAATTATTAGAACTCATGAAGGATGAAGAAGCTCAAAAATTATGTCTAATTGATTATTTGGATGGATTTTAACAAGTAGTCATTCAAAATGAAGAAAGGCATAGGACTTCCAAAAACAATAGTATGTTATTTCACCTTTCCTTTACCCCCCAGTGCCCTATTGTAAGACTTACTGGAACACTGTACAAAAAAAGATAACAATTTTCAATGTCACATTGATCTTAGGATATATTTATAGAGGCAGATGTTAGGAGAGGAGTACACACCTTCTAACCAGCTTCATTGAGTGAGTCACTGAAGGTAAAGTACCTGTGAACACCTGAGAAGATGAAGGTCTTTTTCCTCACCATAGCATTAAGCCTATCCTCTATCCTCCAAGCTGAGGAGTCATCACCTTCTGAAGAACGATTTGAGGTGATACTTCATTGGGAGATCTTGTAGATTAGAAGGAAGGATGTATGCTAGCAAAAGGCTGTCATTTAAAAATCTGAGCCTCACTGGGCTGTTTTTAACCTGGGTCTGTAGCCCTGTAACCTTCACATCTTAAAATATACTGCAATTTTAGTGCTATAGATTTCATTAGAAAATCTTGGGTTGATGGGAGATGGGAGATTGGAGAAAGTCAGTGCAGGAAGTAGATTTCAAGTCAAGCATTTCACTGTTCTCTTGCTTTAATTGACTCTATCCGCAATGAACTGGAAATGGGGATATGATTCAGTTAATTTTATCCTTGCTAATGACCATTCAGAGAAAGTAACGTTCTTGGGTGAAGTTGGGTCTCCAAGGATTCAAAGTCACTTTCTTCAGGAATTCAGTTTGGGAGTTCAGTGCCAAATGTCTGCTTCCATTTGAGCCATGTCAGAGTTGGGCCAGCTTGATAGGTTTGGATTCTCAAGGCTAGTTCACTTCAACCTCATGACTTCTTCCTATAAAACATGATTTTATGCTTGCTACCACTAGGTCCATAGTGATCCCTGGGTAACTGGTTCATGCATGATTTTTGCCTCATAGCTGGGATTCAGTTCAGAGATGGGAATGAAGATTCAGATGATTAGCAGATGTCTGTGAAGGGTTGGTTCCCATTATTCCCTCATTTTTCCTCCTTCAAGTTCTAGCTACATATCATAACTCCCTCTAGGGTACATACATTGTAAAGGCCATTGTGACAGACAGTGAAGATTTTGAGAAGCATGTGCCTAAGGAGATGTCACCCTTGATAATCACCCGCCTTAGCTATGATGCTCTGGAGGCCAAAATTATCATGAAGTAAGTAGATTGCCCATGGTTGTCCTATCAGCCTGCTTCATCTTTATCTCTCCTATTCTAGGAACACAACTAGAGCCAATCATTCGATATTCTCTGCATATCTAATCTGACCACAGAAAATTACATATACTGTGTTAGAGTTAGAGGCTTAGAAGGTTTGAATTAAGGTTAGAGTTAGAGTGTATACAAACACACATACATACCTGTTTACACAGATACAAACATACATACACACATACACACATATACACATATATATGTATGTAGAATACATACACACATATACACACACATATATATGTATGTAAATATTTATGTATATATGAAGCTTAGGCTGCCTTTCTCAGCAAAGAGTGAAATGCTTACAATGTACTCACTGACTAATTTTTTCTGACTCACTAACTGATAGTCCCCATATGACCTCAGACCTCCTCTAAACTTTCCTTATTTCCCTATGGATGCCTTTGTTTCATGTAATTCATGACACGAGTTATCCTATGTTTTATACTGCAGCCTACTTAAAGTGTGCATCTTTCTTCATATCCTTTGGGGTCACTTGAGTTTGGATTTCTTTCCAGCTGTACAGATTGACCCAGAGAATGTTCAATATTCAAAAGATGATCACTAAGTCACAAGATTCTTTTCTATGAGTGAGAATAATCAGATCACAGGCTGTAATGCTAATCTGCTTCTAGACATTCTCCTGTGCTTGCCACATTGGGTCGGGAGTGAAGTTATCAAATCACCTTTCCTGATTTCAATGACATATAAACTTCTCTTCCTCTTGTTGTCTCCAGCAAAACCATTCATATGTGTTCTGTTTCCCAGCAAGAATGGAATGTGTGAAGAGATTAAATTGAAATTGGAGAAAACAAACAATCCTGGGCTATTTTCTGTGGGTAAGTGAATCAAATATGCCATAGTAAAGAAATCCCTGGGTTCCTCAGAGATGGTCTGTCAGGCCAAAGGAAAGATTGCATCTTGAGACTTTCCTTTATTCTTGGAGTCCAAAGACTGGGTTTTCTTGACAATATCTTGTGAATTTGCATGCTTTTTCTATGGCATAGACTGAGTTGATGAGTAGGTTTATCTGTCTGCAGATGTGACTGACTAAATACCCGCATGTGAGGGGTTGAGGTAGCAAATTCAGGTTAGGTATCTACTCTTATAATTTGCTATGGGAAATCACAAGAACACTTTTTTCCAACAATAGATACTTTAATGGGCAAAAATATTTTCTTGAATGATATTCTCAGGATTCATAAATCATCTAGAAAAACTTGTGGCATGTTAGAATTCATTAAAACATTAATATGATGACTCTCCAGGATGTTTCTTGAGGGGAAGGGCGAGACATGCAAAGATGGAGTAAGACAGCAGTTACTTGCTTGCCTTCCTGGGATTAGAGACCTGTAGAGAAGGGGCATATCCAAAAAATAAGTCATTTGCAGCACTATTTTTTTCTTTTGTGAGGCAATTGGGGTTAAGTAACTTGCCCAGAGTCACTGAGCTAGTAATTATGATGTGTGATTGGATTTGAACTCAGGTCCTCCTGACTCCAGGGCTGGTACTGTACCTCCTGTGCCACATTGCTGTCCCTATGCATCACTGTGTTTTAAAATGGATTTTTCCATTTATATATTGGAGAGGATTGAGTCTGAATCATTTCCCAGAGCTAAGACACTGACATCATGCTGGTGTTGCTCTCATTCAACAAATATTTATTAATCAACTCTAGTGTTTAGAGCACTATGCTATTCATTGGAGGAGGTACAAAATTCAAGTTCAACGTGATTCTTGCCAAAGTTACAAACACAAACAACCATTTACTCTTGCTTTCTTTGTTACTTTGGACTTGAGTTATGATTTCATTTGTATCAGGAACTTCCAGTAAGGAAACTCCCTCTATCAAGACAGATCAGTATCTGTTCTGCAAGTTATATTCTTTGAGAGTTGCTTGATGGTTTGGAGAATTTAAGTAACTTGTTCATGTTAACCTTGGTAATATATGTCAGAGGTGAGACTTGAACTCAGTACCAACAAACTCCAAGCTTGTTTCTCTGTTCATTACAGCATACTATCCCTCTAATGTAGGACAAATTAATTCTTTCTTGGCCTAAGTTTCCTTCTCTGTAAAATTAGGGGTTAAACATTTTTTTTAGATTTCTTCAAACTCTTAAACCTTTAGTCCCTGGCTTCTTTAATATACAATATTAAATGTAAGTGCATTAGAAAGATGCCATATCAGATTCAAGGGGATTTTGTCCTGGTCATGGGACCACTCAACTTTCCTACAGAATGAAATCCTAAAGCCTGCCCTAGTCTCTTCCCAACAGATTTTCCAAGAGGATTAGGGATGCTAAAGATATATCTCCTCACCATCTCCACAGATGAGGGCAACCACTGGGTACTCATAGAAAAGACATCTGTGAGAGATCATTGGCTTCTCCTCTGTGAAGGCGAGATAAATGGCCACCAAATAAGAGTCGCCAAACTTGTGGGTAAGTAACATGGGATTCTGTGAATCGCTCCAAGAGAAGAGCATTAAGATGTGGAATAGCTGTTAGAAAATGCTCATGTAGATTCCTCCTTCTTGTCAGACATTCCCAGATCAGGCATCTGTAGAAGGAGCAGGAGGGGATCCATTTTGTTACAAATCAAAGCCCAATAAAGTGGCCAGTGGATTCCATGAATTACCTCAAAATTTTTGCCATCTGGAGGTTTGATGGCAACAGAGACATTGCTTACCAATCACATTCCCAGGCTGCCAATACTGACTGAACTACTCTTTAATGAATCTGTAGAAGGCAAAATGATGCTTTGAACAAAGCAGCAGGGGGAAGAAGACAGTGTGTCTCCATATTTTCTTCATTCTTCCATGATACTTCTGGGGGCATTAGGGTTATTTTGTTTTAGTGCATGATTGGGAGATGTAGGTGGGTTTTCTGTAGAGAGGTAGGTTTGGGGAGTGCTTAATGTGGGGGGAGAGGGCTTTTGTTGGCAGAAGACAGGAGGGCTGAACTCTTAGTTCTCTAAATACTTAGTTGTCTCATCTTGCTTTGTGTTGGCAATTTAACTGACCAAGGAGCAAAACCCAAGGACTTTCACTATAGGAGGGGACTACTATAGAAACAGGGACCAGAGAAGGATTGAGTCAGAATGAACAGATATTTATTCTGCTCCCTCTCTTTAGGTCCAGATGCAGAAGAGAACTCAAAAGCCCTTGAAGACTATAAAAAGTTTGTCAGGCTTTCAGGATTCAATGAAGATAGGATCAAAATCCCTGGACAAGTTGGTAATAAGAATAGAACTGGCTCCACATTGCTGTGCCCTGTTCCCTTATCCCTGAACTCCAACCCCTGTCTTTCCCCTTTTTTCTTGTTCTTCCCTTCCCTTATACACTAATTTCTCAGGAGACCTTGTATGATTGTTTGAACTCTATGGTAGGAAGTGATTTTGGCAAATCTACTCACATATGTCTTTGTTTCTGCAGAGGCTTGCACCCCGGAACATGATTAAGGTATGCACTCTTTAAAGATTTCTAGGGAATCTTCCAGAATTATCTAAACTCATGTACCTCATCTGGAATTTAAGCATCTACTTGATCCATTTCAACTACAGGAAGTTGAACACCCAAATCATGTCAGAGGGATCACCTTGTTTTACTTATCGCAAATAGGTTTTTAGCTTCCTTTGGATTTCTGTTTTAGCCTTTCGTCTTTCTGCCTATTAGAAATGTTTTGGTACATCTCCATCTATCACCAGTGGCTTCATTTTGAGACTACTGCCTCTTGTTTGGTTCTTAGTGGAAAGTGAGGACAACTGGCTAAAATGTGAAGAATGATAATTGTGGAGTCAGTAGTTTCAATCACCTGTGTGAACTTGAGAAAGTCCCATAAGCAATCTGGCCTCAGGTTCTTCTTATGTAAAATAAATGAGGTTGGATTAGATCACTCTTATTATCTCTTCAAGCTTTAAGTCTAGAATCTTATAATAATAATCATGATTTAACGTATTTGAAGATTGTGATGAAATTGTCCTTTGTTTTTCCCCTCCAAGTTTCTCCAAGGGACCTCTTATACTCTCTCAAATACATAATTCAATTGCACAAAATGTTTATTTACACACAGGGTTTCAAGAACATTGAAATCACCCAGTTTGTGGTTTTGTACATAGCAGGTTCTTACTTATCAGTGGCCTCTCCCTTTCTGAGGTCACCGGGTTCTAGATTTAGAATTTATTTCTAGTTCAGCCTGCTCATTTTTCAGTTGTTGTAAATGAAGCCTGGAGAGATCATGCAAATGACCTCTTCAGAATCAGTGAAGCTTAAATGGAAAGCCATTCCCTGTGACTCCACATCCTCTGGTGCCTTTTTCTGAACATCTGGCATTTTGAGGCTGGGTTTTGCTAGCTCATAGGAAATTGTGACTTCTGTTCTTTTGTAGAATCCAAGGGACCCATTACTGACTCTTTCTTTGATGTTTTCTAGGAGAAGATGATTCTTTTCAACCTCAGAACCAATGCTGTCCAGGAAATCCCAGTCTTATCCTTGAATACCAAGTTGTTCCTAGTGCCTCGTTGCTGCATAAACTTCTCCTTTTCGTCCTTAATCTCTTTCTTCAACTTTTAGTTTTTTTCTTCCAATGCAAAATAAACATATAATGCAACAATTATTGGCTGAGTCTCCCTCTGTTTTTAAAATTTTCTTTGGGGCTATGAATAAGAAGTGGCTGACAAGTAGATTGGGTACACTTGACTGGGAGTCTATACCTTGGATTTCCAAAGGTTGAGAGGAACTTGTCTTCTTTAAGGTGTAGTCAAACATTCTCTATATATAATGCTCAAATTACTGGCTGAAAAATGAAAGGGTAATTCATCTTCTGTTCACAATGTTAGGCATAGTGGTTAAGATAGCAAATGACTTTATGTTTCATGGCTCCAAAGTTGAACACTAGAAACCCTTAGCAATGGAGAATCAGCTAGATTTCACAACAGATTTGTAGGCATAATTATTCCAAATAAAAAACTAAGCAAATAATAAATTAGGAAGATGTGTTTCCTCCTTGCCTCCCTTCTCCTCTTTCTCTTTCATCCCTCCCTAGGAGAGTTCCTAAATAGCTCTCCAATGTTTCTATCCTATTGCCTCCTTCATGGAACAGCTTCTCATTCTCAACTGAATTTTACTTTGTATTTCATGGTGTTTTCCCATGAGCATTTGTTGTATTGCTCATTATGAGTACAAAATTTGCTAGTTTTCTCTTTGCTAGCAACTCTTCCTCTTCTCCTCCTATAAAAAAGTTTAACTTTTCTATGAGTCAGCTCAATGTTGTAATACATAGATCAGTTCACTTACAACCTCCACTTTCTTATGGTCTTTTCCCAATCATCATTCTTCTTGAACTCTCTACAGAGCCTTTGACATGGTTGATCACCATATTCTTCTGGCTCTCCTTCTACTCATTCAACTGTTTCTTTGCAGTCTTCTTTGCTGGATCTTTATCCATGTCATGCCACTTAAGTTAAGTATCCCTAAAGGCTCTGTCCTAGCCTATTTTTTCTTTTACCTCTACATTGCTTCTATTGATGATATAATTAGCTCCCATAGATTAGATTATCTCTATCCAGAGTTGTGAGCCTGGGTGACTGGGAGAATTGTAATGCCCTTGATAGAAATTGGGAAGTTTTGAATGTGGGGAGAGTAATGCAATGAAAACCTTGAAAGAAAAGAGTATCAAGGAGAAGAATCAATATCTTTGGAGAGAGAAATTTTAATTAAGTCATGAGGTTGGAAGCCAGCCTGTAGAGAATTAAGAGGAGAGGAAGTGGAAAGAAAGTGGAGACACCTATTGTAGATATTTTTTTCTAGTATTTGAGTCATAATTAGGATGAATATGGGATATTACCTATGGGGATGGATGGATCAAGTAACAATTTTTGTGGATGAGGGAAGTGGACATGTTTGTAGGCAGCAGGTCAACAGACAGTAGTATCAAGAGAGAATGGTGTGAGAGATTGTGGATGATAGAGAGGGGCAATCTGCTGAAAGAGATGGGATGGAATGTGATCACTCACGCATGTAAAGGGATTTTCCTTGGCAAGAACAAGGTCACATCTTCATGTGAAGCATGAATGAAAGGGGAAAGCATGGCATAAAGTATACATGTGATGAGGAGGGGAAAGAGCTAGCGTTTGGTGAATAGCTTCAAGTTCTTCAGTAAAATTTAAGGTAAGGTTTTCTGCTGAGAATGTGGGGTAAGGTAGTACCAGGGAAGGTCTGAAGAGAGATGGAAAGGTTTGGAAGAAGCAAAAATTATTGTGGGGAGTGGATTACTGAGTTAATTAGGGAGGTGTAAAGGGTCTCTTGGTGTAGCAAGGGCCCAATTGAGGATACATAATGTATATTTGTTTTTAAAAATTTTTTATTTATTTATGTTTTTAAGTAATTGAGGTTAAGTGACTTGCCTGGGGTTACACAGCTAATAAGTGTCAAGTGTTTGGTCTGAGTCCAAATTTGAACTCAGGTCCTCCTGACTGTCCTCCTGACTTTAGGGCCAGTGCTCTATCCACTGCACCATCTAGCTGCCCCCAAATATGTGTAATCGATCCAGTCAACATAATTCCATGCTTTTCTCCAGCTTTTTCAGTAACACACATATAGGAATGAAGGCAATAGATATTGGGAGTTATTAAAAGCAGAGGTTTGTCAGGGCAAGATAGGCAACACCTTAAAGGGACACGAGATTGAAGAGATGAAGACAGTGTAGAATTAGAATGGTTCACCAAGGAATCAAAATGAGGAAGGGAAGAGGATGTAGGTGATACAAAGGTGATGGCCTGGTAAAGAATCAAGGGATAGAGAGAATGGAGGTCTTGGTAAAGATGAAAAACAGTGTTAGGGTTTTTAAGACAGAGATGGAATAATACCAGATTATACTCTGATGAGGTGATTTAAGAATTCATGAACATGGAAGTAGAGCATTTGTAGGTGATGGCAAGATTAAAGTTATGGCCATCTTTGTACATGGGTGTGGTGGGATAGAGGAGTAGATTGCTTGAAGTGAATACCATTGAGGGACTGTGAGATGAGGTTGCTTCAGGGTAGGTCTGGACCATATATGGTCCACAGGCTGCTTTCGGCCTGTCAAAGGATTTCAGGCAGATGCCACTGCCCACTCTCTCCTGTTTGTCAAGTGACCTGTGACAACCAATTATGGTCAGTTAGCTTCTACTTACCTTTACTTGGAAAGTGAGCTGCTAAAAACCTATCTGCAACCTGAAGAAGTTCAGCCGATTTTAATTTTGGCCCCTACTGACTCCCAAGCTGTGTAGGTCTGTTTCAGAAAATATCAATATGTATATTGAAATCCCATAGTACAAAGGCAGGAGTTGAGGAGGAGAGGAAGATTGTGGGCCTGGCACTGAACTTACTGAGGAGAGAGTCTTGAGGAGAGTATCTTGGACATTATTAGACAATTAACAAAAGATTGATTTAGTGGGAAATATGGATTGAGTGAACCTCAAAGGAAGAGGTTACTGCATGATAGAGGGAGAGGGAGAGCCTTGAAGAAGCAATGGGGAACAAGGATTATTTCAACTCCCCCATCTGAATCAGTGAGTTACGGGGTATGAGCAAAAGTGCAAATGGTGCTGCCATTGTAGCACTGTCTTTACAATCTTGTTCTTATTGTATGAATTGCTCTTCTGAATCTGCCCATATCACTGCATCATTTCATACAAGCCTTTCCAGGTTCCCTGAAACCTTCACCTTTATTTGGTCCTCAGTGGAATAGTCTTTTTCCTCTTCTAGAAGGAGACAGGAGACCACCTGATGGAATGATGTCATCTGTCCTTACCCCAAAGGTAGGAAACTGGTGAGTGATACCATTTTTTCCCTCTTTACCTATGAGGCTGGAAACCAGGAAAGAAATGTTGTGTGATAGAAGGAATCCCTTTCCACTCACCAAAAAGGCAGGAAAACAGGACTATTGAATGACATTCTTCCTCTTTCTGCAAAAAGCTGTTGAACAGGCAAGAAACCTGGTGTGATGGAATGGAGTTTCTCTTTTTCCCGTGAAGACTGAAGGCCTGTGCAATGGATTAGCACTGTTCCCCCTCACCAGAACAGAAAAAAAGTAGTGTGATGAAATATCTTCTCCTCTTTCCTCAGAGGCAAGAAAGGGGACTTGTTTATGATGGAATATCCTTCCTCCTCTTCTTGTGGGAGGCTTGAGACTAACTGTGAGACCTGAAGTAATGGCATAGCTTCTCCCCCTTTCACCAGAAAGGCTGAGACCAGCACAATGGCCTCCAGATAATCAAAATAAATCTAGACACCAAAGGATAAGTATTGCAAAACAAAGGAAAATGAATCAACATCCTATGAACCAGAGGGTCCTGTGGATTCCTAACAAAGCATGGAACCAGAGCAAAATGATCCTATCTGGTCTAAAAGAGAAATAAGAGTAAGAGTAGAACTGATGACTTGCAGAGCAGAAATCATTGGCAGGGTAGAACAATCC